TGGTAAAAGGATCCCGAAATTGTATTTATATTTTCGTATTAAAATTTATAACAACTCGAGATTTTATATGGCTCAAAGATAAAATTTAATCAATATGTTACGTAAATGAAAACATAACAAATATGGGAAAAGTATGATTGCTTATTTCAATTCATATTATTTTATGTATTTCACGCATATATGCGCGTATAGTTATATTACATTTGAATAGTAATACCTCAATTGTAATAATATAAAACATGCACTAAACATACAATGAAAAAATATGTGCGAAAATAATAAATCAGTTATAAGGCTCGATTTATTGGTGTGGTATTACAATAGGGCCCAAATTTTGAGCTTTCTTAATTAAGACTTTCTATTTTAAATTATTCTCAATTGAAACTCACTTTTAAATTTTAGTTCTCAATTTTAAGAACTCAGTTAACTTTATATTTTGAAATAATTATGTCAACCAAAATATTCTTTTATAATTTGTATTATACATATTTATGAAAAAACATTGCATGTCTTAATAAAATGACCTTAATGGGAAAATTAATCCATACAAATAAATTTGTGCAAAAGTTTAATAAAATTTATTTTAAAGTTTGAAATTTTGAAAAAATGATTTTGAAGATATATAAGATTGATAATGTAAATATATAATAAATGAGAAAATAAGCTATTTAGAAAATTATTTTTATTTATTTCTAAGCTTGATTATTTAGAAAATATTATTTTGATTGACAATCTAAAGATATATTGCATTTGAATAGTGAGTAATATTATGTGCATATCTAGTTAAATATAACAATAAGTTTGTGAAATCCAATGTGTAATTAAATAAAAAGTCAAATAACTAAATCTCAACCGTGTAAAGCAAGTTGATAATAAAGTAATAAACACATTTAAATGAAAATAAACAGTATCACATTGATTGATTTACCAAATGATGGTGTGTGATATGGACTTAACCTCACCTAAATGTGCTAATGACGTGCACTTCATTATTTGATGGCACGTGTTAATTAACTTATAATTTCCATTAGTTGAATGGTCCATGTTACAAAATTGATCAGAAAATTAAATACCATACTTTGAAGTTCAATAATTATTCTGAAAACAAGTGAACTTTTTTGTGATTCATATGTTGTATGCACTATTGAGATAATTGCTTTTTTCAGCTAAGGTTATGTGTTTGTTAATAATTATGGTTACACAATAAAATGCTCTTAATAATTTTGTGTTATTTGTTTGCTTTAAAGGTCATGTGTTAAATAAAATGAGTCGCTCGTAATCTCAGCTTGTTAAGACTCGAGTTTGATTCGGCTTGTTTGATAAACGAGTTGAACTCGCTTAAAGGTCGTTTCGTTAACGAGCCGATCTCGACTCGAGTCGATAAGGCTCGAAAAGAGAATTTTTATATTATTTTCTATTGTTTGACTCATTAAAGTTTAAAATCAGTAGAACTGGTCTTGTTAACATTGATATACAAGTCGAGATCGATCTCAAGTTTTGGCTTGTTTATCTAACGAGCCAAGCCGGGATCGTCTTGTCAAGGGCTCGAGCTCGAGCTGAGGGTGCCCGAGCTCGGCTCGTTAACATCCCTACTTCAAACATATATTATGTTTGACTAGTGTATTTTTATAATAACATGTTATATTAAAAAAAAAAACGTAAATTATATTAAAAATATACTATTTATAATTAATATAGATGTAAATTTAAAATAAAAGGCAAACAAGTCTTTGCCATTCGTAGCAGCCGACAACTCCTGAATAAAAAATGCACGTCTTGACGACGTGGCCACTGTTCGAGTCGGTTCGGAACTGGCCCTGTCAAAATCGTTGAACGCAGGCCTTCAACCAGTCCGTGGTTTTACCTGGGCCGGTTCAAGTTCATGCTTTTAAAAATTGAATCGGCGTTTCAAGTTCTGATTGGCTGTTCGACGCCAAAATTCTATTTTAAAACTTAATTTTTATTTTTTATTTAAATTTAAATTTTTACTATTATTTTTTAATTTCTCGAGCCGACTTTGAACCGCCAGTTCCTTAAACCGGCCCGTAGTCTTTCTTGGGCCGATTCCGATTTACCAAAATGATGAACCTGACCCGACGTGTTCGAACTGAAACCAAGTTTTGTCCACGTCCACTAGTAAAACTTAGAATCAGGTGAAAATTAATTGCTTCTTCGAGATGAAAAATTATGACAATGATTTTTTTTTCCCACAACGATAGGCTTTCGTAAAAAGAACACATAATTACATCTAAAAGTCGGTCAGAAGTCGAATTTAGTGAGAGGACAACTCTAAAAGAAGCCTAAACACCACAACGCATCCACATTAATTACTAACTCTGGCCAGAATAATCTAGATCTCAAAAGGATAATAACACCCAAACAAAAT